ATTCTGGGACAGAAGTTCAGGGCTGGTTTAGGGGTCCAGAGATGCCATCTAAGACCCAGTGTCTTTTAATTGTTCTGCTCTTTAATCTATAGCTCATACATTTCTTCTTCATGCTTGCTGCTTTGTGATCACAACGTGGCTGCCATACCTCTAGGTCTCACTGTCCACATTCCAGGTGGAAGACAGAGGGGAGGTGAGGTGCAAGAGGCTTTTTCCTCAGGAGACTGTGCTTCTTTATCTCCCCAGAGACTTCCACCTACATCTTTTTTGCTTTAACTAGGTAATATGGCTACTCCTAGCTATAAACAAGTCTTTTTAGCTGGGCAGGTTGACACCTTAAAGGAATAAAGAAAGGTTTTTAATAATAAAGAAAGGAAAAATGGATAGTAAACAAGTAATAAGCAGTCTCCTCCTGAAATGTTGTCTTACTTTTCTTACTTCCCTGGGGAACTCTGATGCTTGGAACAATGTACAGAGTAGCTGGGACAGAGTTCTCCAGTGACAGAAAGCTGCTGAGTGAGAAGGTGCTGGGACAACCACTTGTGCTCACTTACTGCTTTGTCTTAGCTGCACATCTGGGGCTGGTGAGGCAAGGCCAGGCAGGCCCTCAAGGATAAATGGTCTCTTTTTGTAGCCATAAAAAGAGAGAAGCCTACTTTTCTTATGTCCTGTAGGAAAGGGAGCCAGTAAATATAGGTCAGGAAGTCAGATGATGGTACTTAACTTTTCTGTGGCAGTTCTCAAAGCCCCTTTCACATGCACTGTCATTTCAGCTTCATGGTAACCCTGGGAGGAGCTATCATTAGACCCTTTTTACAGATGAGGAAACTGAGAGGGGCAGCACCAGCCACCCTTGGAGCACTCCTCCCACCAGGTGCTCTGCCAGGGGTATTCAAGCACCAACTTGTTTAATCATCACAGCAATTAGATGGGGGATGAGCTATTAGTTTCTGCACTTCACAGATGAGGAAATAGTGGCTGGGAGAGGTTAAATAAGGAGTAGCATCAGGACTTGATCCACGTCTGTAGGAAAAGTCCTATGCCCATGGATACTGGGGTGGCAGTCTGGGTCTTCCTCCCCTCCCTGCAGCCATCTCCAAGGCCTTGGGCTTTGTGTGAGGTGAAAGAGTCCAGATGCTCTTGGTCTCCCCATCCCGAGTCACTGAGCACCAGGTCCACTCACTGGTGGCTGATTAGTGCAGTCTGATTTCTTTTGGACCTTACGCTCGCAATGGATCTTGGCTTCTCTTGGGGATCAGTTCCAGGTACTTGGTCTGTTTTGGCTGGTGGAGACTGGTCTCAGCTGGCTGCCTTTGGAGCTGCCCGCAGCGGGGTAGGTTCCAAAGCTGGGTAATTTACTTTCTTTCTGGGTGTTTGACAAACTAACAAACAGCAGACTTTCCTAGCCGGTCCCAACAATCTTCCCTCATCCTGCCTTCTCCCCACAAGACTTTGCACAGGGTCTAGAAATAGCACGGCTCAAAAGTCTGTTGGCCAGATTCTCTCCCACTTCTCCTAGAATTGCTGCTGGGAGGAGAGCCTCAGGAATACACATCTCACCTCCTTTGCTTTCTTGGGTCAACCCCTGGCAGCCTATTAACCCTCCAAGAAAAGGGAGTCCAAAGGCAAAAGTGGGTTCTGAGACAAGGGAGTGACTGAAATAGGGCCATTCGTGTTCCTGTCTTTAGTTAGCACTTGATCTCTCCACCGCCTTGCTGCTGTCATCTGTGACATGGGCACAATCAGCCATGGACTCGGCAGTCGACAAAAGTAATAGGGCTAAGCTCCATGGGCTCTCTTCGAGCCCAGTTCAGATTCTCAGCTGGCCGGTTAGCTCAGTTGGTTAGAGCATGGTATTGATAACATCAAGGTCAAGGGTTCAGATCCCTGTACGAGCCAGCTGCCAAAAAACAACAACAAAAAGAAAATCCCAGATGCTCTTCCCACATCCTGCCCCTAATTCTGTAGCAAAGGTCTCCCTGGCTCCAGCCCCAGCCCCAGTAATCAAATACCCCTTCCCACACTTTCCCCATACCTGGCTCGGATGATGAGAAAGGAGTTCAATCATTTTGACAAGGTTCATTGGCCCATGGTGTTATGGGATTGGCGTGGGGTCACCTGGTTGGCCAGGGCTGAGGCCATTTTGGCACAAGCACACAGAATGTCCAGATGCTTAGGACACTTCATCTTATTTCTCCCTGAGGTGCAGAACCAGACGCTGACCTCCAGGGCAGTGATGCAATTTCCAGGGGCCTTGGTAAGGCGATGGTGGTGATAGCGGGGAGACGGGGAGGGGGAGGAGACGGAGGATCAGTGCTGTAAGAAGTCCTGCCAGATCAGATAGCATCTGCTCTCGCCCTTCACTCTTGTGGGGAGAGAGCTCCTCACCCTCCAGACATGGCACATTTCTCAGCGGTCAACTCCGCATTTGCAGCAGGGGAGCTCTGGAAGGTGAGAGGCCAAGGGTACTGGGCTCAGCCCAGGGGTGGGGAATTGAGAGTGTGGACAGTGGCGGGTGAGAAAGGAGGAGGATGGTCTGTCTGGACCTCAGAAGGGTGGTCCATGGGGTATGCATTTGGAACCACTGCAGAGAGGGGGGCTCAGGGCAGACGCTGGGGATGAAGTTCCAGCAGGACAGGAAGATTCCAATCACTCCAAGAAGAGTTTGGGAAAACAAGTGAAGGGAAGTTACAGCTCCTACTCTCCATCTGTGTGGAGCAGAGGGCTGGACACAAGAACCTGGTGAGGAGGGGTTGGTTCTCTCCCTCTCCTTGTCCCTGGCTGTGCCGATGAGGTGACTCTGCATGTGTTTGTTCAGTTAGACTCAGACACCTCTGCCCTGACATCGTCTGCAGTAACACAAGTGATACAATGCACTTTCACATCGGAATCTCAGGGTAGGAGTCTTCCAAACCCATTCTGGAGACCCTAACAAGGTACAGGACGTAATGTGCCTGAGGTCAGGTGGTAAGACAGTGGTGGAGCTTCGAGTGAGGGTCCAGTTAAGGGTTCTTTCCATGACAGTCCCCGAATCCCACAGTGTCTGTGCCCAGACCTCCCTGTACCCAGGCCCACCTGCCCCTCAGATATTGCCTTCAGAGTGAGCTCCTGCCTTCAGAATGAGCTTCTGCCCCTCCATAGCCTCAGTCTGGGCTCTCCCAGCTCCCTCCCAGTGGGTGAGCACAGGTGCTGCATGCCAGGGAGTTGTAGCCATGCCCAGAAACACTGAAGGCTGGTGACAGGGACATGCGCTGGGAGCCAGCTGCTGTGCTCTTCCCTGACCACTTGTGTAAAGCACCTCGCTCCCCACCATCATTTTCTTTCTTTTAGCTCTGCTTTATTTTTCTTCATAGCATTGATACTAGCAGTCTGTGAAAGATTTATTTGTTACTCTTTGTTTTTCCCCACTGGATTGTCATCTCCCTAGAACAGGGACTTTATCTGTTCTGTTCATGGCTATACCCCAACGCCTGGAACAGGTGCCTCTAAATATTTATATAAACAGTGAATGGCTCCTATGCCTGCCACCCACTAGTTATGCGACCTTCAGCAAGTCATCTACCTGTTGGTTAACATTTACCAAGCTCTTGCCATGGTCTGGGCACTATTTATTCTACGGGCTTTGTATGTATTAACTTATTTGAGCCCCACAACAATGGTATGTGGCAGCTACGATGATTTTCCTCCATCATTGACAAATGAAAATGAAGCCCAGCAAGGAGAGGTGACCTGCTCAAGGGAGGTGGCTGGTGGCAGAGCTGGGATATCAGGTGACAATAATTGCTTGACCTAGAACTGAATTAACTGCTGGTCCACTCTGGCCCCCACTTCTTCTGTGTGACTGTCCTCTGTTCTCTGCCCCTTACTCTACATTGTTCCTTGCTTATAAAACAGGGGTAACCACAGCCCTACCTTCCCTTCCTTCCTCATTGCTCCCCTCACCCACAGGGGCTGAGTCTTCAAGGAGGTGACGGCACAGGTTTGTTTGGGTGCTGGGGTCGAGGATGAGGCCAAGGTATCTTTAGCTCTCTGGCTGCCTCTGCAGGCATTAGGGTTTCTTCACTGGCCTGGGAGTCAACCTTTCCTTCCCCCTCCCACACTCTCCTGGGTCCCGGGTTCTCTTTCTGTAAAATGGGGAGGGTTCTCTCAGGCTTAGGGGTGAGGGAGGGAATAGGGAAGAGAAATGAAGAGATTTCCATTTCTGGTAATATGGTGGTCTGTTCCTCCTCCAGCTAAAAACAACAAAAAAAGCTGGATAGAATTTAAAAATGCTTTTCAAAGCATTGTAGAGCCAACAGGGCAGTAAGGAATGAGTAGGCCAAAGTCTAAGTGAAAACAGAATCTGGGAGGTGAGCAGGACACCAGGGCCCCTCATGGCCTGAGGGCATTGGCCAAACCAAGCCAAACCTAAGCTTTGGCTTTGATGGTTTGGGGAGTAAAGAAGACAGAAGCTGAAGCCCAGGGTTCACCTGAGGAGCAGACACGAATGGGAGACTCCCCACCCCCCACCATTATGTTGAGACTGCAAAGAGCTACAAGCCAGAGGAGACCCCCTCCCCACAGGACAAGGAGAGTTGCCTTAGTGCAGAACAGAGCAGGGGAGAGGAAAGCAGCCCCCGAGGAGCTCCAGCTGTAAGTCAGCTCTTACACAACTCTGCAGCCCAAACTCATTCGCAACACTTGGGGTGGAGGGACAAGAAAACTCAAGCCAGACTGCTGGAAGCATCCCTAGGAGGAACATAGCTTCCTCCTATCCCTCAACGACATCCTACATGCAAGCAGCTCATAACCAAAAGTCATCAAGCTCTGAAGTGGTCTGGAGGTCAGGCAGGGAAGGAGTCTCATCAGCCTCAGTCTTCTCATCTGTAAATGGGGGGCTTAACCAGATGATCTCCAAGGTCCCCTCGGCACAGGAATTCTCTAGGGTGCAACGTACCTGAGGCTAAAGTATGTCCCCACTTTGTACTCTGGGTGCCTCTTCAGAGTGAAAAGATAGGGAGATGGATGAACGAGATCAGCCCAGCCTGTCTCCTCCAACCATGCTGGAAGGACACAGGCGAGAGGTTGTCCGCAGTTCCCAGTTCTGGAGACAGCGGAGGGGGAATGAATGGGGAGTGGTATCTGAGGCCCAGGCTGGGCCTTAGATGTGTGTGTGGACAGGTGGGTGGTGGGGCCTGTAAAAGGAGCTGCTGAGAAAAGGAGGCGGAGGAACCCCTGGGGGCATCCTCAGCATTGACCTAGTCGGGCCCCTCATGATTGGTCCCTTGCTTCCTTGGGAGGCTACAAATAGGGATGCCCTGTCTCTAGGCCCCTACAGCTGAGACGCCAACATTGGTGGTGAGTGCTAGTGCTTGGGTCTTACCCTGGGTTGGGTGTCAGGGCAGCTCAGGGGACCTCCAACAGCCAGCCTGTCTCCTGACCCAGGGTCTGGGCATGGGGGGCAGAGAGATGACCACAGCAGGGACTGAAGGAGTGAGGGAAGTCAGATATGGTGGATGCAGGGGTTCCCTTGTACAATGAGGGGCTGTTGGGAAGTTTGGGCTGGGGCGTGCAGAGCTGAAGTCTCGCTCTGGGGTGGGAGCAGTGGTCTAAGGTTCTGGTGCTGTTACCCATGGTTAGCTCCCTCCCACTCCTCCTTGCTTCCTTGCTTCATTCCTGGGGGCAGGCTGGGACTAGCCAGGGCTGTGCAGGGAAGAGGATTCCTGTCAGTCTCCAGGCACTGAAATTCTGAAACAGCAACAGTGGTGGCGCCAGGCAGGCTGGCAGGAGCCCAGAAGGGCATGCTGAGCACCCCGGAGGTTCCTCATTCCCTAGGCTCATGGCCCTTTCCTCTTCTGGGAACCTGGACACCTTGCTCCAATCCTTGGTTGTCACAAAAAATGAGACCCCAGGCAACGGTTGGCACCCCTCCCCCCCTTCCCCACTTCCCTGTCAGCCACAACCATGCTGGCCATTCACTCCCAGCAGAGTGGGAGTCATTAGGGAGAGTCTTGGCCCTGGCCACCCTGTGTTGCAGGACTCTTATCCCCTGGGGAACCAGGAGTGAGTCACTGGGCTCACATGGAAACAACTCTTGCCTTCTTGGCTGTCCTAGGCTTTCCCTAGGCTGGAGACATCATTCCAGAAGGGCGGTGGAAGGGGACAGTGGAATTCCAGGAAGTGAGCAATTCCAGGAAGGGCTTCCTCTCTAACAGATAGGGTACCCCTATACAGACCCTTCTATCTCAAGACCTCCAGGGGTCAGGAGGATAGCCTCAGGGCAGGGCAAGTCACAGATTAGTAAATACCTGAGCTGGCCAAGTTTCAGGAGACCATCTCTTTCAGATCCATGACTGGGCCTTGAGGTGGGATTAATCCCACCTTACAAATGAGGCACCTGAGACCCAGAGAGGGTAAATGGCTCCCTCAGGGCTGCACAGCTAGTGAGAGGCAGAAATGTGTCCTATGGGGCCGGCCCATGGCTTACTCGGGAGAGTGCGGTGCTGATAACACCAAGGCCCCGGGTTCGGATCCCATATAGGGATGGCCGGTTAGCTCGCTGGCTAAGCATGGTGCTGACAACACCAAGTCAAGGGTTAAGATCCCCTTACCAGTCATCTTTAAAAAAAAAAAAAAAGAACTGTGTCCTGTGGATGCCGCTTCCTTGAACTCAGGGCAGGAGGCACGGAGAGGGGAGTGGTGGTGAGGAGGCATGGGGGTTCCTCTCAGACCCGACCCTCCCTGCTAACGCCCAGCTCCTCCAAGGGCCTGAAGCCAAGGAAGAACTGGGCACGGGACTCCCTGTGCATGTTTCTACGTGGAGGAGCTCTGGGATCCTAAAGTGGGGGGAGGCTTCGAGGGCCAGGATCTACATCCCATGGGGTGGTGCAGAGTGGGACTGAGCCATTCCTGGATATTGGGCATGAGAAAAGGTGGGAGGGAATCAGAGAGTCCTCAGGGAGCCCCACCATGGGGGGTGCAGATAGTGGGGTGGGATACTGTCTCCCTGAGGAGTTTGCAGAGACATTGGGTAAATGAGACCTCTGTCCAGGAAAATAACAATGGGGATGGAAGGGAGATGAATTAGGAGAGGCTGGTGTAGTCAGGGAAAGTTGCTCAGAGGAGCAGGGAGTCCATGGGGCCTGAAACCTGGTGGAGATTCAGACAGGTCTGGGAACAGCCCCTGGGAAATACCAAGAGCAGAGGTGAGCAGGGGGGCTGGCCTGGGCCTCTGCCGTGATCACACCTTGTTCTGTGACAGTGAGAATGGCCAGGGCCCGGAGCAGGCAATAGCTGCCATCGTGTACACCTTCTGGGAATAGGCAGGGCACAGTGGTGACAAGTACAAGCTCTGCCAGGCAGAGCTCAAGGAGCTGCTGCAGAAGGAGCTACCCACCTGGACCCCGGTGAGTACCCAGCTGCCAGGCCCTCCCCACCCAGTGGGAGGCACTGCATGGACGCTGCAAAGAGAGACCTGGGGACAAACACGAGCACAGGACAGCAAGGGGCAGAAGCTAGTCTGTGAGGAGGGAATGTGAAGAAGGGAACTGACACAGCAGGAGCCCCCAATTCCTCATTTGTAAAAGAGGTGACAATCTTTGTACCTGCTGCCTTGCAGCATTGTTGGGAGGACTGAGTGAGAGCACGCTGAAGAATGCCTAACATGTAGTAGGCACTCAGTAGCAAATAGTAGGCACTTAATAAATCATCTGAGAAGGGGGATTTGGGAGGGGGATTGCAATGGTTGCCTTATCAGGACAGGTAGGCTGAGGTTGGCCCCTGGGAGGAGTGGGGTTGGGATGGGCTGGGCCCACCTAGGAGGCAGGAAGCGGAGCGCTGTGAGAGGCTATTCTGCCTTTCTCATCCTGCCTCCCCACCCCTCCCTTGCACAGGCTGAGTTTCTGGAGTGTGACCACAACAAATTCATGAGTGTTCTGGACATCAACAAGGACTGCGAGGTGGACTTTGTGGAGTATGTGCACTCTCTCGCCTGCCTCTGTCTCTACTGTCACGAGTACTTCAAGGGCTGCCCTCCAGAGCCCCCCTGCTCCCAGTAGGCTCTGCTCCAGAGGGGTGGGCCAATCTGGCAGGGGCAAGGGTCTGCTCCATCTCTGCGCCTGAGGTGGTCCTGGGCACGTCTCCCACACCCCTCCCTGCCCTCTCTCCTGCACACTTTTCAATCTGGAATCACCCAGGTTTGCTCCTGCTACGTTAACCTATTTTACCCATGAGTCCCAGAAAAGGGGAGGGACCTTCTCCAGGATGCCCACTAGCAAGGGGTACAGCAGCTAGGGCCCCAGCCCGCCCTCTGCGCCCCTCTGTGCCCTGCTGTGGATAGGAGGGGGCGGGATCTACTCTGAGGCCATCAGGCCCAGCAGAGTGTGTGCATAAACAAGACCGTGATGGGAGAGGGCCTATTAACTCCTAATAAAAAACTGGTGTCAGCTTGGCTTGGTTTGGTTCTTCTGAGAGGACATGCTGGGGCCTTGGGACAGAAGCGGCTGTGATCTTTGTTGTTCTCTGGCCTTTTTCACTGGAGGAAAGAGGCTGAGGGCAGGAGCAGCGAGCTCCCATGGGCCCTGAGGGCAGCTTCAGACCCTGCTGACTTGCAGTGGTCTCAGAGGTCCAGCAGGAGGGTGTGGGGTTGACACAGGACCTGGAGGCTGGAGGATCTCTCTCTCTCTGGGTTCTCTTGGGCTGTCAACAAGCGTGGGAGGGTGGCCTGAGGTCCCCTGGGGTTGGAACTCAGTCCCCATGCCCAGATATTCTGAGGAGGAGGGTGGGGTCATGGGGATGGGGAGTGGGTGTGTGTTCCCTGCCCTGGGCTGTGGGAGCCCAGAGAGCGGCACTGATAGGATTAGGGAGTCTGAGGTGTTTCCTCCCAGCCAGGGAGGGGTTCCCTGAATTGGAGGGGGAAGGGGATACTTTGAGGCAGATCAATCCCTGAAGCTGCAGCCCCCTGAGGCCCTTCACCCCCTACTCGGTCCCTTGCTCAATCCCTGAGTTCATACCCCACCCTGAGAGGTTAACCCTGGATCCTGACTCCCCCATCTTGTGTCATTTCACCTCTAACTCTCCACCCCAGGCTGGATTCGTCACTCCTGACACCCATGCCGATTCTAAACGTCCCTTCCTTGCTCCCTCTCTGCACGTTCCATCTACCCCGATCCCCTACAGCTTACCCCACCCCTACGCCATCACTACCTTCTCCAGGACCTCTCCCACTACATTCTTGGAGTGGTCCCAGAGACCCCACCCCAGGCTTTACTCGGCATGCCAGAGAGCCCTTTGAGAAGGGAGAAGGGCTCTGATTGGGCCGTCCCACAGACCTGGGCCTGGGTTCCCCTCCCCAATTCCTGGGCAGCTTCGCATCACCCACCACTCCTGTGGTTCCTTTCCTAGCTGTCTGTTGGGACCACTCCCTCCCTATGTCCTATACCTTAGGCATAGACTGCCCCTCCTCCAGCTCCCTGAAACACACATCAAGCTGTGTACACTGAGTGGTGCCCACCTCATCGAGGTCCCCGCTGGTGCCCACAAGGCTCACCCATTGCCCATCTGTGCCTGGCTTGGGATAGGAAGCTTGGCTCCGGGGCTGGGCTGGTGAAGGGGGCTGGGACACTTACCACATCAGCCCACAGCAGGAGGGCAGTATCCGCTCTCCCCCATCCCCTGCCATGGGCAGGGCCTGTCTGGGGTATAAATAGGTCAGACCGCTGGGCTCTCCCTGCTCTTCCTCTCTCCCCAGCCCTCTCTCCTCAGCACTTCCACTCTCTTGGCCTGGTGAGTTGTGTTGGCCTGACTGGCATGCAAGGGGTGTCAGAGGCTGAGGCTGGGGCAGGAGAAGGGGAGGCTGGTAGGGGCCAGATGTACTAAGTGGATCCAGATGTGAGATTCTGAGGTGGAGGCTCTGGGGGTGGGGTGCATGCATTCATGGGTATGCACAGAAGAGAGAAAAAACAAATGGAAAAATGTGCAAGTGTCTGGGTTTGAGCTCTCTGAGTGCTTCCGAGATGCTGGGGCTTGCACGTGCTGCTGTGGTGTGTGCTGGTGTGTGTGACCTGTGGGCATGCACACTGGCTTGTGTTTGCTGGGTTGCACAAGCCTGTGTGTACGCACCCGAGTGCGGGAAGCAAAGCAAAGGCAGAAGGCAACCGTGGGCTGTTGTCTGGTGGTGCCCTATGAGCCTCTGCCCTGCACCCAAAAACCAGCCTAGAAAGCTTGGCCTCCTCGCTGCCCCCTTGCACTCCTGCCTCTGCCACCTCACCCCGCCCTCCCCATGTTGGGTGCTAGGCAGCTGGTTTTTTCCGCTGCCGGACCCTGGGCGGGCCTCCAGCAGCCGCACCCAGCACTGGGAGGAAGAAGAATGGACAGGGGCGGGGAAGTTGTGGCTCAGCTGTGGGAGGGGAAAAACTGCATGAGAGTGGAAAAAATGCTGTTGTTGAAGTGAGGCCTGGCAAAGGCCCCGGGAGCTTGCTGAATCTCCAGAGCCTGTGCCTCAGGCCCTGCAAATGTCTGCCACCCAAAGCATGCACTTTCCACTGCGTGCACCTTCCCCCCAGGAGCTGAGCCCCACTTCTCAGAGCTTCCCCAAGGGTGGGAGCAGAGTCTCACCAAGTGCTCCTTGAGAGATGGGAGGGGAGTGGGCCCTTCTGAACCCATCGCTGTGGGGGCAGGGTGGATAAGGGTTCCTCTGTGCCCCCTGCCCTCAGATCCTGACTGCTGCCATGGCGTACCCCCTGGAGAAGTCCCTGGATGTCATGGTATCCACCTTCCACAAGTACTCAGGCAAAGAGGGCGACAAGTTCAAACTCAACAAGTCGGAGCTAAAGGAGCTGCTGACCCGGGAGCTGCCCAGCTTCTTGGGGGTGAGTGGGTACTGCCTGGGAGTGTGCCCCACTGTGGGGCATTTCCACAGAGGAGGGGCAAGGTACTGGGAGGCACCAGTCTTTTTGCAGAACATTAGCTACAGCTGGCATCTATCACTGGGGTGGGAAAATGGGGTGCAGAGAGCTTGCTCTGGCTGCCTTGGGTGGAAACACGATGGACACTCACCACTCACTTACGGCCCCCCAGCAGAAAGAGGGCTGAGAATGAGCAGATAGGTTACAGGCCAGACACTCTGCCAGGTGCTCTGCACACTTAACTGGAGGGAAAACCAAAGCTCAGAGAGCTAAGTAACTTCCTAAGGTAGTCAGTGTACTGAACTGTGGTCCAGACCAGGACTGCGTGACTCTTGCTGTCACTCCAACAATGGACAATTTTTGAATTTCTGTTTGTCTTGTGGATGTGAAGACATTTAGACACTCACATACTACAGACTTTTCTCCCAAACAAAAACAGCTTTCATTTGTATCAAACATACGCAGTTTATATATTGCTTTCATGACCATTATCTAATCGGATTATCAGAACAAGCTTGGGTAAAGATGTTGTGGTCCCATCATTTTTCAGTTGCACCAGGTACCCAGACTTCCTCATCCAAGTTTCAGCCTTCCTCACCCTCGCTTACCCCTGAGGGTTGGAGTTCCAAAGCTGGGCCTCCCAAAGGAGTGGCTGTGAGCCTCTTGAGCTCAGGTCTGCAGATGAGAACCTGGTCTAGTCTTGGCTCTACCCACTGGGCTTCTGTTTTTTACCTTGAACCTCTTCTCCCTCCAGAAAAGGACGGATGAAGCTGCATTCCAGAAGCTGATGAGCAACTTGGACAGCAACAAGGACAATGAGGTGGACTTCCAGGAGTACTGCGTTTTCCTGTCCTGTATTGCCATGATGTGTAATGAATTCTTTGAAGGTTTCCCGGATAAGCAGCCCCGGAAGAAATGAAGGCTCTTCAGAGGCGGGATGGGGGTGGGTGGTGTCTGCCTGCTGAGGTCTTCCCTGTTGGTCTCTCCCTGGCTCCTTCAGATATGTGCATGATGCTAAGCACGTTCAATAAAGATTCTTGAAAGCTATGAGGCTGATGGTTTGAAAGACTCTGGGGATGTGGATTGGGGGCTGAGGGATATGCTGTGGGGTGGTGGTGGGGAGTGCTGGGAGTTGAGCTGCAGTTTTATGGAGAGCAGACTAGTGAGGGACGGGGAAGGATGTGGGGTGACTCTGTGTGTGTGTGTGTGTGTGTGTGTGTGTGTGTGTGTGTGTGTGTGTGTGAGCTAGAGTTGGTGCTTGGTTGGGCCAAAGGCAGGGAAAAGGACCACCCCAGGCGTGGAAGTCCACAGCTGTGGGATCTCAGCCAGCCCACTCACCCCTCCCACCTCTGTCCCACCTTGCTTCTGGCAGGACCTTGAACCGAGGTTGAGATGGGACTGATGGTCACATCTGCTTCTGGTTGGGTTCTGGATGGAGTTAGGTGCCCTGGGAGCAATTTGGAGGGAAGAGACTAGGGCTGAGTCATGGAGAGGGAGACATGAGGCCAGAGTGGGATGAGGATGAGGCTGGCACTCATGTCCTGCTGCCCCCTTCCAGCTCATTGGCTTCAAACAACAAGGGTGGGTTAATCCTCTTCCGTCCACAGTCGGATCGGGGAGGGCAATATGGAGGGAGAGCAGGCTGTCTGCAGCAGCATGAGAATGCAGTCATTCTCTAACCCACTGTCTCTGCCCCAGAGGCCCCTGGGACGAGATCTGTTATCAGCTAGGAACAATGCTCCTTCAGAGAGGACAAGGGACCTCAGAAGGGATGAGTGGGGGATAGTGGCTGGGGTGGGAATGAAGATGATGGGGAAGTGACCATAGTTTTGGAGACAAAATTCCAGGCAAATAATCTGATAAATGGAATTGAGATCTTTTCCCCAGAAAATAAAAGGCATGACGTTGCTTCCCCTTAAGGTAGGTTAAAAGTCAGTGGCTCCGGGGTGCAGTGGGTGGGATTGAGGTTAGACTCCAAGGCCATGCCTGGATGATAAAGGGGACATTTAAGGAAGAGATACGTGGAGGTCAGGCCCAGAGGCTGAGAGGGCTTGGTCCCCTCCCTCTGTGAAGCTGCCCCTTTTCTTCTCATCACATTGTTTTTCTCCCAGGTTTCAGAGGAGTGAGGAAAGTGACTCAGATGTTCCCTCAGAGTGTGACTGCAGAGAATCGGGTAGGATTTTGGTCCAGGAAAAAGTGTGCCCATCTTCCGTGGGAGTGCTCTCCCCGGAGCCTCCTCCTGCATCACTCTAACTTCGGAAACTCCTGTTGCTTAGTGACCAGTCCCTGCTGCCTCTCTAGCCTCACCAGCTGGGGGTGGGGTAGAGCAGGGGGCAGTGGGGGGACCCAGGCAGGCTAGGGTGGGACTGCAGCAGGGATAGGTACAGAGCCCCAGACTCAGTTATGTTCTCAAACTTGGACTGGTTGGTGGTAGAACAATGTCTTGGAGTCTCCTGCTCCTGGGATACAGGCAGCACTCCCAGACCCCACTCCATCCATGACTGTACCCTGAACCTGGAACCTCCTCCCCAATTCACAACCTCTACCCCATCGCTGGGCCCTAACTCTTCCCCGTGTCTCTTCCCCAATCCCTGATTCTCAGTCCTCCATGCCAAGAGTCTCTGACAATTCTTTTCCTTGAAGATCAGTGAGGTTTAGAAGAAATCATTCATGTGAAAGACCTTTAAAAACCTTCGGCTTTATGCTAGTTAGTGACCTTGACCATGCCCTTGGCAGGAAATGTCTTCCCCCACTGGTCCCCATCTCGAAGTGTGTCTTCTCTGCTCTTGGAGTGGGCAGGAGGAAGCGGAGGAGGGTCCCACGTGGACGGTGGCCTAGGACATGGGGAGACACATTGTGGTTGGCCCACGCCAGCTGGGTTTTCTTTCCAGGACAGCCTGACTTTCTCTCTTCTGCCTATTGTTCCATCAGATCATGAGAGTTCTGATTTTTGGTTGGAAAAATGAATTTTCTTTTCTTTTTTTTTTTTTTTTTTTAAAAAGATGACCGGTAAGGGGATGTTAACCCTTGTCTTGGTGTTGTCAGCACCACGCTCAGCCAGTGAGCGAACCGGCCATCCCTCTATGGGATCCGAACCCGGGGCCTTGGTGTTATCAGCACCGCACTCTCCCGAGTGAGCCACTGGGCCGGCCCGGAAAAATGAATTTTCTTTTCTTTTTTTTTTTTTTTCTTTAAAAAGATGACCGGTAAGGGGATGTTAACCCTTGTCTTGGTGTTGTCAGCACCACGCTCAGCCAGTGAGCGAACCGGCCATCCCTCTATGGGATCCGAACCCGGGGCCTTGGTGTTATCAGCACCGCACTCTCCCGAGTGAGCCACTGGGCCGGCCCGGAAAAATGAATTTTCTGAGGCTGAAGACATGTGTGCCATGGTGAACTCAGTGTGTCCCCCAACCCCCGTTTGTAAACAGGAAGATAAGACTAGTGGAGGGGGTTTCTTCTCAGTTCCATCTCAGGTGCTCTGTCCTGGGCCTCCTCATGTCCCTGGCCCCTTCTCATTGGTCCTTGCTCTCCCCTGGTCTCCTGGGCACTGGGAGCAAGGGAATAAAGGCAGAGCAGTGGCAGGGAGGCTGCTTCTGCTGCTTGGATCCTCTGGGCTCGCTCCCTCCTTGGTGAGTCCTTCCTTCTCATCTCCCTGTCCATCTATCTGGTGGGCCAAGCTGGGTGCTGAGGCCGGAGGGTGATAAGTGGTGCTGACCTCCATCAAGGAAGGCCTGGCCCCTTGAGTGGGCATGTGCTCAGGGAGGAGGGGGCAGAGTATATGGAATTGTGGCTATCAGAATTTCCCGAGGAAAGGCTCTGGGGGAGAGGTGGGGATCAGAACCTTCCGGGTGCTCCTGCAGATGCCCAGAGATCCTTGCCTTCCACTGTGGTCGTGGCTGATGCTCCTTGAGGTGGGAGAAGCTGAGGTTTTTGGGTGGTGAGAGATGAATGATGGGTGCAGTTCAAGAATCAGAGGGTGGGCTCTGGGCTGGAGGTGAGAGCCAGCAACTTGTTCCTCCTTGCTCAGGACTCCCCACGGGATTTACCTGCAGCCCTCCAGTCCATGGGTGTTGCCTCCTTCCTCCCTAGGAGGAAGTGGTTTTCAAGTCTGAGTCACACGAGCTCCAGCTGCCCCTTCCCTTGCATGGGGATGGCTGTGCTGATGGAATCGAGGACCTCATTTAAACCTAACCTCTTGATCCAGGTCTCAGAATGATCCTGGATATTTCAACAGGTCCCCCTGCCCTCCCTTCCTTCTGGTTAGTCTGCGTGTGTGCAGTTCCCTGGGCCGGAGACCAGCTGGGCAAGTCCAACCACCTCTCCTGCTTCCTGCTGAGACCTTATATCCCAGTTCCAGCCCCAGGCTCCCACCCCCACAACTCTCTCTTTGTCCTGTCCCTTACTTTATAATGGGACACCCCTCAATATCAGGTGACTTAGACATTAGGGCATTAGAGAGTGACTAAGGTGGGAACTGCTTCTGGAAAACCAGTGCCCAAGCTGGATGGGCAAAGAGAAAATCCTGACCCTTTATCTGCTCCATCGTCTGTCACCAGTTTTTAGGGGGAGGTTATTTTGTCATCTCTCTGCTCCTAGGCCCCTTTTTCAATACCCTCCCTAAGCAGGAGAGTCTACAGTCTCCTTCGGGGGATGGTCAGTCTCACTGCATGGGCTGCTGCTAGTCTCTTTATAACCTGTCCTGACAAATACGGGTCCCCTTGTTGGTGGATATTCTTCTCATCAGGGATTCCAGTCTCTAGTCCTTTGAGGAAGGGGCCTTGGAGCTGGGCTAGTGGTGGTGGTGGTGGTGGTGAGCAGAAAGTCTGGTGTTCTCAGGAATGTGATCTTCCCCCCTTTCCCCTCCAGAGTTGCACACCGCAATGGAGAAACCTCTTGAGAAGGCCCTGACTACTATGGTCATCACTTTCCACAAATACTCGGGGAGAGAGGGAAGCAAACTGACCCTGAGTAGGAGGGAACTAAAGGAGCTGATCAAGGAGGAGCTGAGTCTTGGGGAGGTAGGTGATCGTTCTTTTTTCCCCCACCCCAAAGGCTGAGTGCTCCCTGCGGGGGCACACACTTGCCTTCTGGGTATTCTAGAGTAAATCCAGGCACAAGATAGCCAAATAGCATGGACAGAGATAGAAGGAAGAGGGTGGACATCTTGGGCCAACAGACCTCTGTGCTGGGGGATGAGTCAGGGTCTCCCTGGGAAGGAGGCACGGCTGAGACCTGAGGGTCCACTATAGCCTGTGTGAGGGTTTAGAGAACGAGATAAGGAGCCTTCGATGGGGGGCCAGGCTCTTGCAGTGGTGGCAGAGCCTGTGCTAGGGATCATGGGGGATGAAGGGATCTGGGATGTCCAGGTCGTGTTGTATACAACTCAAGGGCAGGGATGCCACCTGATTCTCCTCTGTGTGCCCGGCATAGCCAGGGCTTCCAGATGGTGTGATGCTTGAACCGAAAGGTTAGTTGGTGAACACATAGGAAGGAGACAGAACTGATTCTTATCAGATGAAGATGGTGGGAGGGAGGTGATTGACAGAGGGGAAGGCCCTGAGGTGGACATTATGTTATTTTTACTTTTTTAATTTTAATTTTAATTTTTTAAAAAAAGATGACCGGTAAGGGGATCTCAACCCTTGCCTTGGTGTTGTCGGCACCACGCTCTCCCAATTGAGCCAACCGGCCATCCCTATATGGGATCCGAACCCGTGGCCTTGGTGTTAGCAGCACCGCACTCTCCCAAGTGAGCCATGGGCCGGCCCTTATGTTATTTTTATTTTTTATTTTTTATTTTTTTGTCTTTTTGTCTTTTTTCGTGACCAGCAACGGGATCGCAACCCTCGGTGTTGCCCCCGCCCCTCGCTCAGCCAGTGAGCGGCCGATCTGCATGTGGGATCCGAACCCTCGTCGGGAGCGCCGCCGCGCTTCCCAAGTGGTGCACTGTAGCAGTGTGCCACCGGGCCAGCCCATCCTTATGTTATTTTTACAGTTAAAAAAAATTGAGGCTCAGATACATCATATAACTTGTTCGAGGACACCCAGCCTGGTGAGTGGCTGAGCTGGAATTCTAGGCTGGGCCTGTGCATCACTTCTTCCCTTTTACCTTTAAAATTCAACCTGGAGGGCCTCTGCCATCATATCTTGCACACTGGTAGGTATTCCCAGAGAGAAGGTCCCTAGAGTATGCCCCCATGGGCAGGGGATTGAAGCAGGTGTGAGTGTCCCAGGCCTTCTCTCTGGCCTTCCTGCCAGGCTGTCTGCATCCCACAGTTAATGAGGGCAGAGGGAAGTGCCATGGGTCCAGCAGGGGCTAATTACAGGGGGACAGAGGCCCAGGGGAGGGCCTGGCTCTCACTGGAGCCCAGACTGGGGACTAGGATCGCATCACACAGAGACAGTTTCCATCTCCCTATGTCTCCACATCCTGTTCCTAATGAAAACCTGGAGCAATGGAGGCAGTGAAGAGGAGAGAGCAGGGTCTGTCTGCCTCAAACCTCCTGGTGGCACCAGGCTGGGAGGGTGCCAGGCACTGTCTCCACATAGTTCTCCTCGCAGGGGAGGCTGCAGTGGCACCTCAGTCCACCGATGCTCTGCTCTCTTGGAAAGAAGTGCTGTCTGGTCCATTCTCAACCATCCCTTAAAATGGGGACATTGCAAGTCAGAGACTTGGATAATGCTCAGTGCCACATAATCACTAAGCTATTTTCATTTGGTGTTGATATGAACTCAAGATGATTATTTCTTTGGGTGGGGGAAGGTGTTGAGGGGAAGGGAGGCTGGGCTAGCCTTCCTACTGTAATTTATTTAGATTCAGGAGTCAGGTCTCTGAGTCCCTCCCTGGTGCCAGGACCTGTGCTAGGCACGGGCAGAGGCAGCCTCTGGGAGTTGAGAAGCTCTCAGTGTTGCTGACTCAGCTAGGGGTCCCCTTGAGGCTGCTTGGGGCAGGAGGTAGCACTATGTAGTGGCAGTGGAGGGGCTGCTGAGCTGTCCCTCTGCCTGGGCCCTTGCAGAAAATGAAGGAGAGCAGCATTGACAACCTGATGAAGAGCCTGGACAAGAACAGTGACCAGGAGATCGACTTCAAGGAGTACTCGGTGTTCCTGACCACGCTGTGCATGGCCTACAACGACTTCTTCCTGGAGGACAACAAATGACCAGGACGCCCCTCCGCCTTCACCATCAGCCCCTTGTCCCGACCTCTGCAGTTCCTCTCACAGACCCCCGTTATTCCCCTACCCCCCTCTCCCTCCAGATGAACCCTTCTGGCAGAGGAAATAAAGATTTTCTGTTCCAGGTGTTGGGAGGCTGGTTTTGAAGGTGTCTTGTCCACCTTGGGGGTGGGGGGTTCTCCTTTGGGTTGAGACAGCCTCTGATGTTAGGGACCTGGGCTCTCACCCCACTTCCTGTCCTTTTTCTGTGCAGATGTCATTGAGCTTGTCCTGGCCTAGTTTTGCCCTCCTGGAAAATGGGGAAGTTGGGCCAGCTTTTGCTTGCTGCACGGAACTCTGCAAAGACGCAGAGAAAGCCAAGAGGGAAAGTGCTTTGGGAGGGAGGACGCTGGGAGTGATGGGGTTGGCTTCTGAGGGCGTGAGGGGCCAGGGTCTGACTTGTCGCTAGCTCACAGGAGGCCCCCTGGCAGCACTGGGAAGGAGAGGGAGTCCCAAGCCAGCGCCGGGCTTTCCCCCGCTCCTCCAACTCGCCCTCAGCAGCCCCTCTCCCCCAGTCATCTCCGGGGGCCAATGCTTTCTCCTCTCCCCACCTCCTATCAAAAGCTTTTCTCGGGAGAGGATCTGAAAAACGTTCACTCAAGGGCGAATAACTAATGATGCTTACAGGGCGTGGCTCCAGCGTGCGTGCACATTAATGGGCGACATGCTCTAAGGGTGGAATTCCGAGCGGTGGGCGGAAGGGAGTGGGGGTGCCGGCAGGAACTCTCTGTAGGTGGGGGACGGGTGGTCTAGATAGCCTTTAAGTCTTATCTTGTAGACCACTGGCTGCTCCCCCCGCTCATCTAGGGTTGACTCTGAACACCCTCTGGGGGGCACCAGCATCCTGTGAGATACCCGCCCCCTCTGTCACATTGACACAGCGCATCGGGGACAAATTCCTGCTCTAGCACGCAGATGGCTGAGGAAGAAGCAGGAGTGACCGCCGCTGTCCTCCTCCTCCTCTCCATGCCGTGTCACGTGTCACTTAGAGCAAACTGAGCTATGGAGATTGGGGGGGAACTCGACGTCACCGGCTTGCAACGGTTTCCATTAAGACCCCCTTTCACGTCCAAACCCGGAGCAGTCCCGGGCCAGGAGGCGTGGAAAGTTGGGGGACACCGCGCTGCGTGAGTCGCGTAAGCCACGGGCGCGGGGCGGGCCCGGGGCGGGGCGGGCGGGGTGGGTCGTCCCCGGAGCCGGCCCCCGGACGCTCCCGCTATAAGGCCGCCCGACTGCGACACAGCCCGTCCCCTCGACTGCTCCCTTCTCTCTTCGCTGCCTCCTTTGCGGTGAGTTCTCGCCAGGGCAGCTCCGGGTCCTTCCAGGGCCGGCTTGCCGTCAGTCTGGGGGTCCCGGCACCCCCTGTCCCTGCCTGGGCCCCGCCTGCCGAGCTCCCGCGCCGGCCCGAGAGAGTCAAGAGCGGCCGGGCTGTGCCGGGCAGGCCCCGGGCTAAGGCACTGGATAGGGCGGCTCCGCGGATATGCTTTTCAGGCGTGCGGGAGGGTGTGTCCTGGGTGTGTCATCGCCTGTGTGTGGCCCCGTAAGGCCCTGAAGAAGGCTGTGTGTGCAGCCGTCAACGTCCCCTCCCCCCTGGCCCAGACTCGCCTCCTTCTCCGGGAACCCCTGGAGGACAGTTACCCGTGTGTCCAAAGCTACTATCCCTGTTTTGTCCTTAGAATCCTTGAATTAGCTCTCTTCCATAGTCTGCCCCCAACTCCCACCCCCAGCCTTGGTGCCATTTGTGGGTGGCCTGAGATGGGGTGTTTCAGGCAGGGAGTCAAAGGGAGTGGTGGGTGGTGGGGACAGAGCTCTTGGGGTGTGCGGGTGAATGAGAAGTCCTTGCTGCCCATGGCACTGACCGTCCCCTCTGCCGCCAGCTCCAAGCCCAGCCCTCAGCTATGGCATGCCCTCTGGACCAGGCCATCGGCCTCCTTGTGGCCATCTTCCACAAATACTCCGGCAGGGAGGGTGACAAGAACACCCTGAGCAAGAAGGAGCTGAAGGAGCTGATCCAGAAGGAGCTCACCATCGGCCCTGTGAGTTGGCCCCCCAGGTCCTCTTCCCACCTCATGTCCTTTAGGAGCAGGATTGGGAGAGAAGGAGGTGCCAGGTGCATCTGACTCACATTTACCCACACCCCGGGGCCCCGGCCCACATGCCTTGCTAAGCTGCCATAGACCCACTCCCCTAGGGAATGGCGGGTACTTTCAGCCTGGCATTCACTCCTCCTGAGTAAGGAGCAGGAGCTGAGGAGAAGTAAAGCCTTGGTGAAACCAAGGTGGACACCGATCCTTAGTGACAAGTGAGTACAGAGCCACTTGTATGAGAAAGCTTCCTGGGAGGGGGACGGGGGAGAATCTAGGGTTCTCATCACCACTGAATCTGGATTTCCCATTCCAACACATTAGAAGCTGCAAGACGCCGAAATTGCAAGGCTGATGGAAGACCTGGACCGGAACAAGGACCAGGAGGTGAACTTCCAGGAGTATGTCACCTTCCTGGGGGCCTTGGCTTTGATCTACAATGAAGCCCTCAAGGGCTGAAACTCCCTCTAAGGGGCCTGAGTCAAATCCAGTTGTGGGTAATTGTATAATAAATATTTTTTGGGGGTCAAATTTACCCTTGTGTCCTGGCTCCCCAATGATTTCTAATTCCTCTTCAGCTTAGTGCTGCACCAGCCATCAGTTTGCTCAGCCCACCTCTTAGAGTGACTCATTGACTCACCAGGCCAGGGGACCCACCCTGACAAGGCCTCATAAGGAGCCTTTACGTGAATTAGAAAAGATGCCCCCTCTTGGCAAAGCCATCTTAAGGAAGGGTTCAAGTGGTCTCCAGTAGAGAGGGTCTGGGATGAGCTTGGAGGCTGAAAAGGTGCCTGGGCTGGGCTGTGGTGGGGTCTGAGGTCTCTGGAAGTGGGGCAGAGACCATCCTAGCAGACTCCCGGAAGACAAGTTTTGCTCTGGGTGTGGTGAGAGGGCCTGGGGTGGGTCCTGTCTGCTTTCTCACCATAGTGAAGCTGGGCAGAGAGGGTACATCTGAGATGTGAGAGGCCTGGCCCAGGGGTTTTCTGAGACTCATGAGGACATTGTATGACTTTTACTGAAGCTGCCCCTGTCCCAGTTGGAGGTGGGGGAGGCGCACTTTAGGAGCCTGTCCCTGCATTCAGGAACAGGTCTGTTTTGTGGTGATCTGAGGAACTGGCAGTTGCACGAACCATGGGGTGCTCACGAATAGGGTGGGGTGGGGGTCACTGGGGCTAGGCCAAATGCAGCTTCAAGCCTTTCAGTCAATATTGACCCAGCCTGTCCCTGCAGTCTCAGCAGAATGAATCATCTAGTTATTCCATTCGAGCCACGCCTGGCCCTCAGCCCCCATCAGAGAAGATGACTAATTGTCTGAATTATTGTCCACTGTCTGCGTTAGTGTTTCAGGCTGCAGGGATGGGGGGAAAGGGGTAAACTGTGTCTTGGGGTGATGGGACATTTGTCACGACATTCCTCCCCTCTGGCCTAGTCTAAGCTGGGCAAGTTCCTCTCTAGGTCCTGAGGAAAAAGATCTCGACCTCAGATGGAGACCACATCCTCCTTCCCCTCTTACTTCCCCACTTCCCTAGGGCCCAACTTTGGGGAATTAAGTGGTCTTCTGTCTCCATTGGGTGGGGACTGGCGAACAGCTGGGAGCCGCACCTCCTTGGAGCCCTTCTCTAGTTGCCTCTCCTTCTCCGCAGGGCATAGCAGTCGCACTGCTGGATAGCTGGTCCGAGTTTCCCCTCTGTTCAGCTCGCTCTGGAAAAGTACGCGCCGCCGCCGCCCAGTGGCAGACAAATTGGGGCGCGGAGCGAGCGCCCTCGTGTGGGCAGAGAGAAGGACGCCGGGGGGAGCCTCGGGTTGGTTTTCTCGAGCCCTTGGGGAGGGGTCAACCGTGGTGGGGCTGAGGCTGAGGGCTGTATTTGGCTCCCCCACTTGCCAGCTGTGTGACCCTGGGTAATGCCTCAGTTTCCCCACCTATCAAATGTGGGTTATAAGAACCCACCTGAGAGTGGGTCCGAGAGCCCTTCCCACGAAGAGGAAGACAGGACTTGGGCACCCAGGGAATGTTAGGATAGGGGGATCTTGTGGCTCCTAGCAATCACCCCCCAAATAAAACAACTCAACTTCATGTGAGACACACCTACCATGAGCGAGCTAAGGTGCTTTGCAAAGACAAATAGAACCTGAACCTTGCGCCTTCCCTCCCGCACCTTCAGGGGCTAGAAGACCCACTGCTGCAGGGAGGGGCTGCTCCGTCAAGGCCAGCAGCTCCGCATTTCTAGGGAGCGCTGGTGGGTGCGCAGACCAAGGGGTAAGGGAACCAACAAAGGTGCACAGTCCACCTGCTGAATAAACAGGCGTGTCCTTCAGCTTCTGCTTCTCCACAGTCGGGCGGCCGGGGGAGGGACCGGAAAAATGGATTTAGAGAATAAAACAAAAACCCAAACAACTAGCAAATCTTTTGCTTGCTTTGGAAATATACTTTTTAATTTTGTTTTCGTGGGAGGGAGGGAAACAGCATTTACAATGGAATCTAGTGGGTGCAGCAGTTAAAGGGTGGAACTGGGTGTGGAGAGGTACACAGGCTGGTCATTTTTATGGCTTCAACCAATTCAAAGTCGGAATTGAACCATTTGAGCTCACTGTTGAGCATGGTCTGGGCTTAGAGGTGTGGGAGAAGTTCAGATGTGAGCTGGGGGCTTCACACCTGGTCCCTTGGCTGAGGATTTCCTGCCCTGGTCCTTTGCTTCCCTGAGGGTTGAGCAGTGGGAATGGCTCTGCCTCCCCCAACTCCTAATCCTTTAGTTGAGGCTCCTCCCCCTATAATTGACATTAATGCTACAATCTAGTTATCCTTACACCTGTGGACAGCAGCACCACAGCCCATTTCTATAAGCTGCGGTGGACCTCAGGTAAGAGGTATTTAGGACTGAGTCTCAGCATGTAGATCTCTGTTCTTTGCCAGGCAAATCTGAAATTGTCAAGGATAATGCCCCCACCTCACATTTGTGTAGCACTTTTATTTTTACAAGGCACTATCATATCCATTGTCTCTTGTCATCTTCAGAAGATTTATGTGTATTATTAATCCCATTGGACAAGTGATAGGGCTGAGTCACAGGTAAATCAGTGCTCTACTCAGGTGGAACTGTAAGTTAGGAAGAAGCTGGGGGCAGAGCTGAGCCGTCCCAGGCCAGCCCATTAGCGCTTATCTCATCCCGACATACTTTGGCCAATTCTTCTTAAGCTTTTAAAAAAAAAAAAATTATTTAACGTTTTAATTAAATATTGGGAATATACAAAACTGTTTATAGACTACATCTGAGATATAAGAACAATGACACAAAACCCATCCAGTTTAAGAAGTGAACATTACCATCACCTTTTAACCCCCTGGGTTGTCTTCTCTATCCCATTTCCTTCCCTCTCAGTGGAATCACTATCTGGTCATTGTGTTTAACATTCCCTTTCTTTCTTTAATAATTTTTACTACATGCATTTTCATTTCTAAACCATATGTGAGTTTGCATCATTGTGAGCTTTAGATAAGGAGAGTAATACCAAATGCATTCTTCTGCTATTGGCTTTTTTTCACTCAACATTGTGTTTCTGAGATTCATCAAGGTTATTGAGAGTAGCTCTAATTTGCTAGTTTTCAGTATTATAAAATAGTTCATCATATGACTATAACATTGTTTATTTATCCTGCCTACTGCTGATTGTCATTTTGGGTTCTGTGAACATTCCTGTATATGTCTCCCAGGACTCGTTTGCCAAAGTTGCTTGAGGTTTATACCTGTGAGTGGAATTGGTGGGCTGTAGAGTATTCACACCTTCAGTTCTACTTGAAAATGCCAACTTGTTTTTCAAAGTTACTATACTAATTTACATTCTTACCAGTGTTGCATTTATGTAACAGTTACTCTAAATCCTTATTTTTGTTGGGCTAAAATTTTTGTCAGTCTAGTGGTATGAAATGTTAACTGATTTTTTAATTTGTATTTCTCTGATTACTGGTGATGTAGAGCATCTTTTCATATGTTTGACTGTCAAGTTTCCCTTTCCGTGAAGTTTCTGTTCAAGATTTTTGCTCTTTTCCTTATATGTGTTGCAAATATCTTCTCCTAGTTCCTGGTAGGTTTTTCTACTCTCTTGAAGGACTGAGAATTAAGGTCTTAATTGAAATGCAATTAAAATTAACATTCACTCCTTGGTTTGTGCTATGTTTGTATATTATTAAAAAAAAACATTTTCCTATCCCAAGAAAATAAAGATATTTTTGTATATTATTCTTTTTTAAAATTTTATTATTATTATTTTTTATTTTATCATTACACAATGTAAGCATTTTTGTGGCCTTTTACCAATTTCTCCCTAGTCCTCCCCCACCACTGTGACCTCAGTTCCGTTCTTTCCTTTTGAAAGTTCAAGGAATTATTGTGATTTTCTTCCTTCCTTCCTTCCTTCCTTCCTTCCTTCCTTCCTTCCTTCCTTCCTTCTTTCAGCTTCCATTTTATTCTAAAAACTTTTTATATGTTTGCTTTTCCACGTTTTCAATTTATCTGAATTTAATCTTTGTATATAGTATGACGTAGAGTCAAACTTAATTGTTTTCCACACAGGTAAGCCATTGCTCCAGAAAAATGTGTTGGAAGTCTCTCCTTTCTCCATCAGTATGTAATAAATGTATGTGTGGGTGTTAGTGGAAAAACAAACCATTTTTCTTCTCTGCTCAACACACTCAAATACCAAAATGTGTTTTTCCTATGCACTTTCACATGACAATTGATACAGAATACTTCTATGATCTCAGGTTGTAACCTGTGCTTCTGACTGACCACCTAAATATCAATGTTTCCCTTCCTTGGGTTTGATTAATTTGCTAGAGCGTCTCACAGAACTCAGGGAAACATTTAACTTATTTTTATCAGTTTATAATAAAAGATATTACAAAGGATACAAAATGAACAGCCAGATGGAAGAGATGCATAGGGCAAAGTATGTGGGAAGGGGTGTGGAGCCCTCTTTGGGTATATCACCCTTCAGGAACCTCCACATATTCAGCTATCTGGAAGCTCTCCAAACCCAGTCTTTTTGGGTTTTTATGGAAGCTTCATTAGGTGGGCATAATTGATTACATCATTGGCTATTGGTGATCAATTTAACCTTCAGTCCCTCCCCCCACCCCAGAAGTTGTGAAGTGGGGTTGAAAGTCCCAACCCTTTAATCATGCCTTGGTCTTTGTAGTGACAAGCCCCCATCCTGAAGCTATCTGGGAGCCCCCAGCCACCAGTCATCTCGTTAGCATACAGAAGAGACTCTCATCACTGTGGAGATTCCAAGGGTTTTAGAAGCTGTATGTCAGGAAACAGGAACAAAGACCAAATATATATTTCACAGTATCACAGTGGGTCTTTTTCCAGGCTCTCTTTTTCATACCATCAATTGACAGATCTATTTCTATGCCAATACAATGCTGTCTTAATTGTTATAATTTTATAATAATCTTTGATCTCTGGTAAGGCAAATTTACCTGTTCTTCTTTTTCAGTGGTATCTTGGCTATTGTTGGCACTGTACTTTCAAATAT